GGGCGGCCGCGGCGGCAGCGCTGCAGGTGCCGGTGCGTGCGGCTCTTCTGCTTGGCCACCCGCACGGCGGCGGGCGCGGGGCCGCGGAGCCCCAGCCCCTGGCACACCAGGGCCGCCAGCACCACGCAGTCGTCCCAGTAGGAGAGGCAGGCGTGGGGCCGCAGCCCCCGGGAGCGCAGCAGCTCCAGCACCCGCTCGGCGTGCTCCTCGTCCCGCCGGTGCTCCCGGCTGTCGTAGGGCAGGAAGGTCTGCACCAGCCCCGCCGCGAAGTGCTCCGGGTCCGACTCCACCAGGTGGATCTGCGGGCCCGGGGAGGCGTCACCGGGGGACGGCCGGCCCCGGCGCCGCGGCCCCGCCGCCCCCCGCCGCCCCCAGCCCCTCACCCTCAGCCCGTAGTCGCGGGCCGCCTCCCACACGAAGCTCTTGCTGACTCCCCCGGCCCCGATGAGCAGGATGTCCTTGCCCTCGACCAGGTGACGCTGCGCCCGGTGCAGCATGGCCTCGGCCAGCAGCCGCGGCAGCTCCCCGCGGGGCTCGCCCACGCCGCGCCCCATGGCCTCGGCCAGCACGCAGGTCTCCAGGCACCGCTGGCCGTTCGTGGCCAGGGCCACCAGCTCCAGCGCGTCATCCACGCACGCCAGCAGGAAGTCCACGCCTGGGGATGGCGACGGTGACACCGGGCTCAGAAACACGGCGTGGCAGCGGGCACCGGCGGCGTCGCCCGCGCCGCGCTCACCCAGGATGTCGGTGTGGGCACGGCTGCCGCCGCGCTGCCGCGGGCTCAGCTCGGCCTCGCTGGCCAGGAGGGCGGCCGCGGCGGCCTCGGTGGCCTCCCGCAGCCGCGTGGCCAGCGCCTGTCGCTGGCTGGGGGCCACCACCCCCCACTGCTGCAGGCTGGAGTCCAGGCCCTGGGGCAGCGCCGCGCCGTGACGCACCGGGCTCTCCGCGCGTCCCACGGCGCAGGCCACCTGTGGGGACACGGGGACACCCACGTGTGTGCGGGGACACCGGCTGCCAACGGGGTATGGGGACATTGGCTGCCGACCCACAGTCTGGGGACGCAGCTGCCGCCAGGGCGTAGGGACGTGACACATTGGGACGTGACAGATTGGCCCAAGGCATGGATGTGGATGGCCACCAGTCCTGGGGACAGCCAGGGCCACCAGGGCATGGGGACATGGACAGGCACACAGGGCATAGCACACAGGTTACCACAGCCTGGGCACAAGACTGCCACCATAGCCTGGAGACATACAGGGCCGCCAGGACATGGGGACAGCCATCACAAGCTGGGGACACACAGAGGCAGCGGGGTGTGGGGACATGCCGTACCTGGCAGAGCTGGGGCCGGTCCCCCCAGGACCTGCAGACGAGGGTGCAGATGCGCAGGGCCATGGGCAGCCGCGGGGCTGGGCTGCCTGGGGGGCAAGGGACAGGGCAGGCACGGCCGCCATGCGGGGACAGGGTGGCCCTGCCCGACCTCCCCCTCCTCCGGGGCCTTTTGGGACTCCCTGTGGCACCGTGGTGGCCCCGGCCAAGCCCAGCCCCAGGGAGTGAGGGGTACAGCATGGCCACTGTCATCCCCAGCCCCACAGGATGGTCGGGAGTCAGAGGGGGTCACCCCAACACCCTGCGCAGCCCCAGGGGACCATGGGGGTCCAGGATGACTTTCCCCCCCACCACAGGGGACCATGGGGGTCCAGAGTGACCTTCCCCACCTCTCCCCATGGGTCTGTGGGGATCCAAGGTGGCAAACTGTCCCCCAACCCTAACCCAGGGGACAGTGGGTGTCCAGGGTGACCCTCGTGCCCTCCCCCAGGACCCCAGTAATTTGGGCACCCCGATGGCCCCCACCCACCCGCCCCAGGGGACAGACATGTGGCCGGCACAGCTGCAGGGACCCGAGGGACCCCGGGGGACTCTTCCCCCCACCTCCCAGGGTGGTGGGCGCCCGAGGGCGGGGGCCTTACGTGGGGGGGGCACGGGCAGGCGGGCGGTGGGCACCATGGCCTCCAGCAGGACGCTGTCCTCCTCCGTCAGCCCCCGGAGCCGGGCACCCACCGCCTGCGCCACCGCCGCCCCCTCCTCCTTCCTGTGGGTGCTGCGGGCGCCTGTCCCCCGCCACCGCCACCCCGCCGGCCGCACCACCACCTGCGTGCACCTCCGTGTCACCCCGTGCCACCCGGTGCCAGCCCAGCTGCCAGCCCGCCACCTGCACGCAGCCCCGTGTCACCTCGTGCCACCCCACCACCGTGTCACCCAGTGCCACCTGGTCGCCCCCCTTACAGCCACCCCAGCACCTGCGTGCCCCCCCGTGCTTCTCCATGCCCCCCAGCGCCACCCGGTGCCACCAGCGCCGCCCACCCCTGCCGTGCCCACCTGGCCGTAGGGCTCCATGGCGGTGCCCCCCAGGAAGGTGCCCACCTCCTCCTGCACCAGGCTCTGCTGGCCCTGGGGGTCCTGCAGCCGCACCAGCCTCACCCCGGGGGCCACGGGCTCGGCGGGCAGGTCCTCCCTGGCCCCCAGGACGAAGGCCAGGGTGGGGGGCACGGGCAGGTTGGTGTGAGCCGCCAGCACGCAGCGGGTGACCAGCGTGTCCTCGAGGCGGTGGGCGAGCGGGACCGAGCCCCCCGTGGGGCAGTCGAGGTCACGGGCCAGCTCGCCCACCCAGCCGCCCTCTTGGTCCCCCGGCGCGAAGGTGCCCGTCACGTAGTTGGCGCGGCGGGGGGGCACGAAGGTCTCCAGGGCGCTGTGCCCCCCCACCTTGAAGGAGACGCCCCGGGAGAGCAGCAGGGACCAGGCGCCTGGGGACGACTCCGATGGCACCCGGCTGGCCCAGGTGGGGGACAGGCACAGCACCATGGCACCTGCGGGTGGGCGCGGGGGTGGGCGGGGGGCACCCCGCACCCCCTGCCCCAAACTGCCCCCCATGGGGGTGGTACTGCGGGGGGTGGGGCGTGCATTTGCTGCTGAACTGGTTTGTACTGGGAATAATGGGACACGGGGGGGCTGCTGCCACCCTGCTCCCCTGCCTCAGTTTCCCTCACAGTCCGGGTCAGGCAGCACAGGCGGGTGTGGGGACCCCTGCTGTTGGCTCAGGGGTGTCTGGTGCGGGGTGGGGACAAGGGGATGGCACCCACCTGGGCAGCGGGTGCCACCCTCCAGCAGGACCGGCAGGAAGGGGATGGGGGAGCCCAGGATGCAAACGGTCATGTCCAGCGGGCCAAATCCTGCCAGGAAGGAAAGGGTTAACAGCCCCGGGATGGGGACCCTGGCGCCACCCTGCCCTGGTGGCACCCCAGTGTGGCTGGGAGCCGCCAAACCTAGCCGGGCACCGCATCCCCATTGCCACCCTTATCCCTGCCACCCCCCTATCCCAGCCTGGCACTGCGCCCACATCACTCTCCCTGCCACCCCCGTGTCCCAAGCCTGGCATCGATCCCATAACACTGTCCCTGCCACCCCCGTGTCCCAGCCTGGCACCATTCCCGCATCACCAGCCCAGTCCCTGCCACCCCCGTGTCCCAGCCTGGCACCGTGCCCCCCGTGTCCCCAACCCGTGCGGGGCTCCGCGGAGCAGTCCAGCGTGGGGGGCAGCCCCTCCTGGCACAGGGCGCTCTGGAGCCGCTCGTAGGCGTGGGTGGCACCGTCGGGGTCCCCGCTGTCCCCGGGCACTTCGCCATCGGGGGCCTCGTCCTCCAGCCAGCCCGGGCACAGCGCCTCGGGCCCTGCCCACTCCTGCTCCTCCGGGCTGGGCACCCGCTCCGGGCTCGGCTGGGACGTCGAGAGCTGCGGGAGCAGGGACAGGGCTGGCACGGGGCTGGCACGGGGTAAGGGGGTGGTCTGGGGCTGGCGTGGGGTTCAGGGGCTGTCACGGGTCTGGCACGGTGCTGGCACGTGGACAGAGCCCGGGTGGGCACGGGGCGGACACGGGGGGGCTGGCACAGGACACAGCGGGCGCCGCTGCCCGCCCGTGGGGTGGGGGCGTCGGGGTGCTGGGGGGCTGCGGGCGCCGGGCACGGCGCCACCGCCTCGGGGACAGCGGGGCAGTGCCAGCCGCCGGGGCCGCCAGCTCTCGGACAAAGCGTCCCCTTGTCCCCGCGGGGTCACGCGGCGGGTGGGCACAGCACGCCGCGCTGCCCGCTGCCCCGCGCCAGTGCCCGGCACCGCCGGGATCCCGGGATGGGGCACCCACCTCCGCCCGGACCCCCCACCCGGGGGCCACTCACCATCCTGGTGACACAGGGGCTGCAAGAGAAGGACAGGCAGAGTCAGCGCGGCTCCCTGGGGACATGCCACCCCTCCCCGGCCACACCCAGGCGGTGCTGGGAGCCCCAACCCCGGCTCCCGTGGGGACACCCGTCCTGCAGCAGCCACCAGAGCCTGGCACACTTCCTGGGGCACACCTCGGTGCCAGCTCCGTGTCTTCATGTTGTACCCTCAGTGCTAGTCCCAGCCGTAGGGCTCCATGGCGGTGCCCCCCAGGAAGGTGCCCACCTCCTCCTGCACCAGGCTCTGCTGGCCCTGGGGGTCCTGCAGCCGCACCAGCCTCACCCCGGGGGCCACGGGCTCGGCGGGCAGGTCCTCCCTGGCCCCCAGGACGAAGGCCAGGGTGGGGGGCACGGGCAGGTTGGTGTGAGCCGCCAGCACGCAGCGGGTGACCAGCGTGTCCTCGAGGCGGTGGGCGAGCGGGACCGAGCCCCCCGTGGGGCAGTCGAGGTCACGGGCCAGCTCGCCCACCCAGCCGCCCTCTTGGTCCCCCGGCGCGAAGGTGCCCGTCACGTAGTTGGCGCGGCGGGGGGGCACGAAGGTCTCCAGGGCGCTGTGCCCCCCCACCTTGAAGGAGACGCCCCGGGAGAGCAGCAGGGACCAGGCGCCTGGGGACGACTCCGATGGCACCCGGCTGGCCCAGGTGGGGGACAGGCACAGCACCATGGCACCTGCGGGTGGGCGCGGGGGTGGGCGGGGGGCACCCCGCACCCCCTGCCCCAAACTGCCCCCCATGGGGGTGGTACTGCGGGGGGTGGGGCGTGCATTTGCTGCTGAACTGGTTTGTACTGGGAATAATGGGACACGGGGGGGCTGCTGCCACCCTGCTCCCCTGCCTCAGTTTCCCTCACAGTCCGGGTCAGGCAGCACAGGCGGGTGTGGGGACCCCTGCTGTTGGCTCAGGGGTGTCTGGTGCGGGGTGGGGACAAGGGGATGGCACCCACCTGGGCAGCGGGTGCCACCCTCCAGCAGGACCGGCAGGAAGGGGATGGGGGAGCCCAGGATGCAAACGGTCATGTCCAGCGGGCCAAATCCTGCCAGGAAGGAAAGGGTTAACAGCCCCGGGATGGGGACCCTGGCGCCACCCTGCCCTGGTGGCACCCCAGTGTGGCTGGGAGCCGCCAAACCTAGCCGGGCACCGCATCCCCATTGCCACCCTTATCCCTGCCACCCCCCTATCCCAGCCTGGCACTGCGCCCACATCACTCTCCCTGCCACCCCCGTGTCCCAAGCCTGGCATCGATCCCATAACACTGTCCCTGCCACCCCCGTGTCCCAGCCTGGCACCATTCCCGCATCACCAGCCCAGTCCCTGCCACCCCCGTGTCCCAGCCTGGCACCGTGCCCCCCGTGTCCCCAACCCGTGCGGGGCTCCGCGGAGCAGTCCAGCGTGGGGGGCAGCCCCTCCTGGCACAGGGCGCTCTGGAGCCGCTCGTAGGCGTGGGTGGCACCGTCGGGGTCCCCGCTGTCCCCGGGCACTTCGCCATCGGGGGCCTCGTCCTCCAGCCAGCCCGGGCACAGCGCCTCGGGCCCTGCCCACTCCTGCTCCTCCGGGCTGGGCACCCGCTCCGGGCTCGGCTGGGACGTCGAGAGCTGCGGGAGCAGGGACAGGGCTGGCACGGGGCTGGCACGGGGGTAAGGGGGTGGTCTGGGGCTGGCGTGGGGTTCAGGGGCTGTCACGGGTCTGGCACGGTGCTGGCACGTGGACAGAGCCCGGGTGGGCACGGGGCGGACACGGGGGGGCTGGCACAGGACACAGCGGGCGCCGCTGCCCGCCCGTGGGGTGGGGGCGTCGGGGTGCTGGGGGGCTGCGGGCGCCGGGCACGGCGCCACCGCCTCGGGGACAGCGGGGCAGTGCCAGCCGCCGGGGCCGCCAGCTCTCGGACAAAGCGTCCCCTTGTCCCCGCGGGGTCACGCGGCGGGTGGGCACAGCACGCCGCGCTGCCCGCTGCCCCGCGCCAGTGCCCGGCACCGCCGGGATCCCGGGATGGGGCACCCACCTCCGCCCGGACCCCCCACCCGGGGGCCACTCACCATCCTGGTGACACAGGGGCTGCAAGAGAAGGACAGGCAGAGTCAGCGCGGCTCCCTGGGGACATGCCACCCCTCCCCGGCCACACCCAGGCGGTGCTGGGAGCCCCAACCCCGGCTCCCGTGGGGACACCCGTCCTGCAGCAGCCACCAGAGCCTGGCACACTTCCTGGGGCACACCTCGGTGCCAGCTCCGTGTCTTCATGTTGTACCCTCAGTGCTAGTCCCACTGTCCCCAGACTGACTCCTCGGTGCCAGTCCCTGTGGCCCCAGCTTGTCCCCTCGCTGACAGGTCTGGCGGCCCCAGATTGACCCCTCGGTGCCAGTCACGGTGGCCTCAGGTTGTCCCCTCGGTGCCAGCCCCGGTGGCCTCGGCACCTCCGGCTTAGTGTAATCCTGTGCCAGCTCAGCACAGCCGGGGGCACCTCCCCGTGCCGGGGGTGCCAGGGTGCCCTGGGAGTGCAGACCCAGGACCGGGATGTCCCCACCCCCTCCGGGTGCCCCCGCTCCCGGCAGGTGCCCGGCACAGCGCCGTAGGGCTCCATGGCGGTGCCCCCCAGGAAGGTGCCCACCTCCTCCTGCACCAGGCTCTGCTGGCCCTGGGGGTCCTGCAGCCGCACCAGCCTCACCCCGGGGGCCACGGGCTCGGCGGGCAGGTCCTCCCTGGCCCCCAGGACGAAGGCCAGGGTGGGGGGCACGGGCAGGTTGGTGTGAGCCGCCAGCACGCAGCGGGTGACCAGCGTGTCCTCGAGGCGGTGGGCGAGCGGGACCGAGCCCCCCGTGGGGCAGTCGAGGTCACGGGCCAGCTCGCCCACCCAGCCGCCCTCTTGGTCCCCCGGCGCGAAGGTGCCCGTCACGTAGTTGGCGCGGCGGGGGGGCACGAAGGTCTCCAGGGCGCTGTGCCCCCCCACCTTGAAGGAGACGCCCCGGGAGAGCAGCAGGGACCAGGCGCCTGGGGACGACTCCGATGGCACCCGGCTGGCCCAGGTGGGGGACAGGCACAGCACCATGGCACCTGCGGGTGGGCGCGGGGGTGGGCGGGGGGCACCCCGCACCCCCTGCCCCAAACTGCCCCCCATGGGGGTGGTACTGCGGGGGGTGGGGCGTGCATTTGCTGCTGAACTGGTTTGTACTGGGAATAATGGGACACGGGGGGGCTGCTGCCACCCTGCTCCCCTGCCTCAGTTTCCCTCACAGTCCGGGTCAGGCAGCACAGGCGGGTGTGGGGACCCCTGCTGTTGGCTCAGGGGTGTCTGGTGCGGGGTGGGGACAAGGGGATGGCACCCACCTGGGCAGCGGGTGCCACCCTCCAGCAGGACCGGCAGGAAGGGGATGGGGGAGCCCAGGATGCAAACGGTCATGTCCAGCGGGCCAAATCCTGCCAGGAAGGAAAGGGTTAACAGCCCCGGGATGGGGACCCTGGCGCCACCCTGCCCTGGTGGCACCCCAGTGTGGCTGGGAGCCGCCAAACCTAGCCGGGCACCGCATCCCCATTGCCACCCTTATCCCTGCCACCCCCCTATCCCAGCCTGGCACTGCGCCCACATCACTCTCCCTGCCACCCCCGTGTCCCAAGCCTGGCACCGATCCCATAACACTGTCCCTGCCACCCCCGTGTCCCAGCCTGGCACCGTGCCCCCCGTGTCCCCAACCCGTGCGGGGCTCCGCGGAGCAGTCCAGCGTGGGGGGCAGCCCCTCCTGGCACAGGGCGCTCTGGAGCCGCTCGTAGGCGTGGGTGGCACCGTCGGGGTCCCCGCTGTCCCCGGGCACTTCGCCATCGGGGGCCTCGTCCTCCAGCCAGCCCGGGCACAGCGCCTCGGGCCCTGCCCACTCCTGCTCCTCCGGGCTGGGCACCCGCTCCGGGCTCGGCTGGGACGTCGAGAGCTGCGGGAGCAGGGACAGGGCTGGCACGGGGCTGGCACGGGGGTAAGGGGGTGGTCTGGGGCTGGCGTGGGGTTCAGGGGCTGTCACGGGTCTGGCACGGTGCTGGCACGTGGACAGAGCCCGGGTGGGCACGGGGCGGACACGGGGGGGCTGGCACAGGACACAGCGGGCGCCGCTGCCCGCCCGTGGGGTGGGGGCGTCGGGGTGCTGGGGGGCTGCGGGCGCCGGGCACGGCGCCACCGCCTCGGGGACAGCGGGGCAGTGCCAGCCGCCGGGGCCGCCAGCTCTCGGACAAAGCGTCCCCTTGTCCCCGCGGGGTCACGCGGCGGGTGGGCACAGCACGCCGCGCTGCCCGCTGCCCCGCGCCAGTGCCCGGCACCGCCGGGATCCCGGGATGGGGCACCCACCTCCGCCCGGACCCCCCACCCGGGGGCCACTCACCATCCTGGTGACACAGGGGCTGCAAGAGAAGGACAGGCAGAGTCAGCGCGGCTCCCTGGGGACATGCCACCCCTCCCCGGCCACACCCAGGCGGTGCTGGGAGCCCCAACCCCGGCTCCCGTGGGGACACCCGTCCTGCAGCAGCCACCAGAGCCTGGCACACTTCCTGGGGCACACCTCGGTTGTACCCTCAGTGCTAGTCCCACTGTCCCCAGACTGACTCCTCGGTGCCAGTCCCTGTGGCCCCAGCACACCCGTCCTGCAGCAGCCACCAGAGCCTATGGCCCCCACCCACCCGCACCTCGGTGCCAGCTCCGTGTCTTCATGTTGTACCCTCAGTGCTAGTCCCACTGTCCCCAGACTGACTCCTCGGTGCCAGTCCCTGTGGCCCCAGCTTGTCCCCTCGCTGACAGGTCTGGCGGCCCCAGATTGACCCCTCGGTGCCAGTCACGGTGGCCTCAGGTTGTCCCCTCGGTGCCAGCCCCGGTGGCCTCGGCACCTCCGGCTTAGTGTAATCCTGTGCCAGCTCAGCACAGCCGGGGCCGCCTCCCCGTGCCGGGGGTGCCAAGGTGCCCTGGGGGTGCAGACCCAGGACCGGGGTGTCCCCACCCCCTCCGGGTGCCCCCGCTCCCGGCAGGTGCCCGGCACAGCCAGGCACAGAGGGAAACTGAGGCACGGAGCTGAGCGGTGCCCGCTGGCAGCCAGGGTGTCCCCAAGCCCGGCACCCGGTGACAGCGTTAGGGGACACACGGCTCGTGGAGTGGCACAAGGACCCCCCCAAAACCCAGTCACGGGGGTCCCTCGAAGTCCGCGCCCGCCCCAGCCTCGGGACCGCCCTGTCCCCCTCCATCCCCAGCTGGCAGGTGCTGCTGCTGTCCCCAAGCTGGGACAGCTGTGTCGCCCGGTACCTTGGGGTGGGAGCCGTGGCCTGAGAGCGCGCAGGGGACGAGGGCTCGGGGACGCCTGGCACAGGGGACACCGGCCGGTCTGGCCTTTAAACCCCCCCCGCGCCACCCCGGGGTGCCAACCCCCGGCCCCGTGCCCCGGATTAGGCGACACAGAGCCCCATTGTCCCCTCTGCCACCTCGCGCCAGGCGCTGGCACCCCTGTCCGTGTCCCTGTCCCCGTCACCAGCGAGCTGCCTCAGCGGGAGCCGGGGGGTGGCTCAGCCGGACGGGGCTCTCCTGTCCCCCTGTCCCGCGTCCCCTGGCTGGGCACGCCCCTCGTCCTCCCCCCCTTCCTGTTCCCCTGTCCCCAGCGTGGCGGAGCTGCCAGCACGCACGTCCCCCGGCTTAGTTCCAGCTGCCCGCGGCGTCAGTGTCGCTGTCACCGTCACCGCCACCGGCAGGCACGGGGCCACCAGCGCGTCTGCCGCGCCCCAGAGCCCTGTCACCCGCGTCCTGTCATCCGCACCAGCCTGCCACCCTCATTGTCACCTGAATGTCACGTGCACCCTGTCACCCACAACCCAGCACACACCGTCACCTGCACCACCGCCAGGGTCTTGTCACCCGCACCTGTCACACACACACCTGTCACCCACGCTGCGACACTGCACCATCACCGGCACCCTGTCACCTGCACTGCCACCTGCACTGCCACCCACCGCTTGTCACGCACATCACCCACCTGTCACCTGTACCCTGCCACCCGCACCGTGTCACCCGCACTGCCACCCTGACCCCGTAACCTGCACCATGCCACCGCGCTGTCACCCGCACCCTGCCACCCTCACCGCGTCGTGCACATCATCACCCACCTGTCACCTGCGCTGTCACCTGCGCCGTGTCACAGGTGTGCGCACACACCCCGACCCCCCTCCCGCTGCTGCCGCCCCCCGCCACCGGCACCCCCAAACCCACTCTGATCCCCCCGCTGCCGCCAGCACCCACCGGCGGTGCCGGTGCCGGTGTCTGTCGGTGTCTGTCTGTCGGTGTCGCTCTGTCCTGGTGTTGTCGCACCCGGCAGCGGCTCTGCCCACTCCGCTCCCGGCGGTGTCGGGGTCTGGCGGGGTTTCCCGGTGTCGGTGCCGGTGCTGTCGCAGCTCCAGCAGCGGCTCTGCCCGCTCCGGTCCCGGCGGTGGCGGCGGCGCCGTGTCCTGCTCGGGCGGGGCGGGGCGGGGCGGGACCGGGAGCACCGGGGGGACCGGGACACCGAAGGGGGTGGCACAACGAAGGGGACAGCGGGGGCGAGGGTGGCGGGGCCGAGGTGCCACCGCTGGGAGACGGGGACAAGGGGCTGGGGTGGGGAGCAGGACAAGGGTAGGGGGATAGGGGACGAGTGACCGGGGGCAGGGACGGGGCCAGCCCGGGGTCACCCGGGGCCGGCTGTAAAACTGACACCGCGGAGCACAAATGTCAGGGCAGGCCCCGGGAGCTATTCGCGACCTCCCCGCACGACATGGAATGGGACACGGGGAACGGCATGGCGTGGCACGGCGTGGCACCCAGGGAATGGCACCCGGGGAATGGCATGGCGTGGCACGGCACGGCACAGCCAGTGGGGACATGGGACAGCCGTGACCCCATCCCTGCCACTGCCACCCTCCACGAGAAGTGGCACAAATGTGTCACCCTCCCCCGTGTCCCCAGTGGGAGCCCGCCCTTCGGGGTGTGACCGGGGACCTCGGGGTGGCAACAGTCACCCGGCAACCGCCCGGTGCTGCTCCCGACGGTGTCCCCAGGGTCCCCGGCTGGGGACATCCCTGGGCTCTACCAAGCATCCTGTCCCCTCGTGTCTTCCCGTGTCCCCAGGCTGTCTCTGTGCTCCCAGGACTGGGATTCGGATCCCCGGTTGCCTCCATGTCCCCTCCTGTCCCCTCGCGGTCCCGGGAGCCGCTGTCTATGCCGAGGCTCTTCCCCTCCCTCTCCCTCTCCCTCTCTAGCCCTGTGTCCCCAGGCCCAGGACACGGGTCCATGTCCCCTCTGTCCCCCGTGTCCCCTTGCCCGAGCTCTACCCCTTGCCCGGCTTGTCCACCTGCACGGGTTGTTCTCTTGCCCGGGATGTCCCCTTTCCCAGGATGTCCCCTTTCCCAGGATGTCCCCTTTCCCGGGACCTCCTCCGTTCCAGGGAAGTCCCTCTGCCCGGGACGTTCTCCTTTCCAGGGAAGGCTCTCTGCCCGTGGTGTTCCCTTGCCCGGGACTATCCCTTTGCCGCGGTATCCCCTTTCCTGGGACGTTCCCCTTTCCAGACATGTCCCTTTGCCCGGGGTGTCACCTTTCCCGGGGTGTTCCCCTGCCGGGAATGTTTCCCTGCGGAGCGTGTCCCCTCTCCACGGCTGTTCCCCTGCCTCTGTGACACCGCCGTGGCTCCCTGCTGTCGGCCCCCCCGCCATGCCGTCCCCGTTTCCCGTCCCTGCGGGGCTGGGACCCCGCGCCCGAGGGGACAGCGGGAAGCGGGGACATCCCGGCTGCAGTGAGTCCTCCGAGCCGGCAGGGAGCGCCACGCGCGCCGGGGCCGCTCTGGGCGGGCGCGCGGGGCGGGGCGGCGCGCGGGCGGCCATGGCGGACACCGAGAAGCTCAACCTCGACTCCATCATCAGCCGCCTCCTGGAGGGTGAGCGGCCCCCGCCGCCCCCCGAGCACCGGGAGACCCTCCCTCCGCTCGGGGAACCTCTCGGGGCCGGCTCGGGCCGTGTCCCGACGCCGCGGGGGGGTCCCCGGCCTGGGCCTGGCGGGGGCGGGTTAGGCCGCGGTGGTTTGGGGGGGGTCAGGGCTGGGAAAGGTTTTGGGGGGGGTCCCCCTGGGGTGTGGGGAGCTGGAGATGAGTCCGGAGGACGTGGAGGATATGAGGGGGGATCCCGAATAGGTCTGTGCCCCGCGGGAGGGGGCGGGGGGAAATGGGGGTCCCCAAAGGGTCTGTGCCCTGCCGAGCGAGGGGGAACGGGAGCGTAGCGGGGCGCCCCGGAGCGTCTGGGGCTGGAGCTGGCCTGGAGGGCCTGGAGGATGCGGGCAGGGAGGGCTGGGGCAGGTAGAGCAGCGGTTCCTGGGGTGCTCTGGGGGTCCCGGGGCGCCTGGGGATCCCTGATCCTGTTCTCTGTGCTGGGAGCAGTCCAAGGGTCGCGGCCGGGGAAGAACGTGCAGCTGACGGAGAACGAGATCCGCGGGCTGTGCCTCAAGTCCCGGGAGATCTTCCTGAGCCAGCCCATCCTGCTGGAGCTGGAGGCACCCCTCAAGATCTGCGGTGAGCCCTGCATGGCTGCTGGGCAGCACTGGGGTGGCGTGGGGGGCTGCAGGGTGCCACTCACAGCCTGTGTCCCCCCGCAGGTGACATCCACGGGCAGTACTACGATCTCCTGAGGCTCTTCGAGTACGGGGGCTTCCCCCCTGAGAGCAATTACCTGTTTTTGGGGGACTACGTGGACCGGGGCAAGCAGTCTCTGGAGACCATCTGCCTGCTGCTCGCCTACAAGATCAAGTACCCCGAGAACTTCTTCCTGCTGCGGGGCAACCACGAGTGTGCCAGCATCAACCGCATCTATGGCTTCTATGACGAGTGTGAGTGCCCGGCCTGTGCCCCCCAACACCCCATCCATGGGCTCCCCCTTTCCCGGTGTTGTCCCAGCGCTGTCCACACTGACCCCACCTGTGAGCTCCCTCCCTCCCCGCCGTGCTCTCCTGCCCTTCCATGTCCTGCCCACCCCCACGCTGTCCCCAGGGTCACCTCCAAGCCCCCTTTGTCCCCCGCAGGCAAGCGAAGATACAACATCAAGCTCTGGAAAACCTTCACCGACTGCTTCAATTGTTTGCCCATTGCCGCCATCGTGGATGAGAAGATCTTCTGCTGCCACGGAGGTGGGAATGGCCCTTCCCAGGGATTTGGGCGGGCTGGAGGAGGGATGGGATCTCCCTGCTGAGCTCTGGGGGTGCCCCTTTCCCGCAGGGCTGTCCCCAGACCTGCAGTCGATGGAGCAGATCCGGCGGATCATGCGGCCCACGGATGTCCCGGATCAGGGGCTGCTCTGTGACCTGCTCTGGTCTGACCCTGACAAGGACGTGCAGGGCTGGGGGGAGAACGACCGTGGGGTCTCCTTCACCTTCGGGGCCGAGGTGGTGGCCAAATTCCTGCACAAGCACGACCTGGACCTCATCTGCCGGGCACACCAGGTACCACCGGGACCCCCAGATACTGGGGACACGTGGGTTTGCTTCTCCAGTGGGTGTCAGGTGGTTCTTCTACCCCGAGTATTTCCCCTTCGAGGGCAGGGTGTACCCCAGGAATGTGTGGGTTGGAATTCTGGGGATGCTTGCCCTGAGATTAGGGTATTTACCCCTCAGCATTTGGGTATTTGCTCTGATGTCAAACTGTTTGCCCGGGGGGGATGAATAGTCAGCCTTGGATGTGGCTGTTCCTCCCAGAGGTTGGATAATCACTCTGGAGATGGATACTTGCCCTGGGGCAGTGCGTGTTTGTCCCAGCCATGGCTATTTGCTGCAGGGCAGGGAGTATTCACCCTGGTACAGGGGGCTGGATGTTCAGCCTGGGGGACTGGGAATTTGCCGGGGCAGGAGGATTTTTGCCAACCCTGTGCCCCCCCCAGGTGGTGGAGGACGGCTACGAGTTCTTCGCCAAGCGCCAGCTCGTCACCCTCTTCTCGGCCCCCAACTACTGCGGCGAGTTCGACAACGCCGGCGCCATGATGAGCGTGGATGAGACCCTCATGTGCTCTTTCCAGGTGAGCCCAGGCAGGGGAAACACCCCCAATTCCTGCCGGGAGGGCTGCAGGGAGCTCTGCCCTCCTGGGGAGTGGAGAGCTGGGGCGGGAGCTCACCGATTTCTTTGCCCCTTCTCCTGCAGATTTTGAAGCCGGCCGACAAGAACAAAGGCAAATACGGGCAGTTCAGCGGGCTGAACCCCGCCGGGCGCCCCGTCACCCCTCCCCGAAACTCTGCCAAAGCCAAGAAATGAGCTGGGAGCCGCCCCCGTGCTGCCCACGCCCCCCAGCCCCCCGCCCAAGCATCAGGTCGCTTTTCTTTCGACTCGTTTTTTTATTTGTAGGATCCTGCCCCCCCCCCGCCACGCTCCACCAAAGCAAATCCAGGCCCAGGGCAGGGAGTGCTGGGGCGAGGGGGGAGCCCAGAGCCCAGCCCTGGGGTGGCAGCGGAGGGGGGGGCAGGAGGATTTTTTGAGGAATAAACTTGTAATGGGTCACTGGGGGGTGCCTGTCCTGGTGGTTGGATGGAGGCTGGGGGTGGCAGTGACTCGGGGCTCAGCTTTCTCCATCGCTGTCCTCCGCCAGCACCTCCTGGGCGGTGGCTGGGCCAGGCTTTCCTGGTGTCATCACCGAGCCAAAAAACAGGGAGCGAAACTGTGGGGAGAAATGGGGGGGTCAGGAGGAGGCTCTGCCCACCCCCTGCCCCCAGGCACACCCATCCCTCACCTTCTTGTGTGGGGGGGTCCCTGGCACAGCTCCTTCCTCCTCCTCCTCCTCCTCCTCCTCCTCCTCCTGGGGTTTGCTCTTGGCTGGCTGGGGGGTGCGCAGGGGGAAGGTGGGGCTGGGGGGCCCCTCTGAGCACCCCTCGCTGGTTTCCATGGCAGCCATGTAGGACTCCAGGTCGTCAGCGAAGTCGTCGGACGGGGCGGGCAGGTGGGACACGCTGATGGGGACAGAGCAGGATTGGGAATGTTCACTCTGCTCCCTGCCCATGGCCGCTGGAGGGCTCATTGGGGACTTACCCGTTGGTCGAAGGGGACTGGGACTTGCTTTCCAGGTCAGAGAGGGTGGCCAGCACCAGGTGAACCTCCAGGACAGCGTCATCCAGGGTGAAGATCACCGGCCTGGGGACACAGAGGGGCTGAGGGGGTGCCAGGGACAGGGCTGGCACGGGGTGGGGACATGGTGACCACTCCTACCTGCCGGGCTCGTCAAAGTGGATGGTGAGGGGCAGGTTGGAGGCCTCGGCAAAGCTCAGCAGGCCCTGGGGACAAAGGGGAGGGTGAGGGGGGCCAGGGGGTGACACAGGGCTGGGGGGCTTAGGTGGGGACTCACACGGAATTCCTTGAGGCAGAAGGTGATGCAGGAGCCCGGGGCCACGGCCACCGACTGGAACTCGTCCTCAGCCAGCCACAGCTCCGTCACCATCGTCTTGCTGGGCTCTGGAGGGGGGAACGGGGTAGGTGGGGGGCTGGAGGGCACCCCATGGTGGGGAGGGGACCCCCTTAACCCTGCAGGACTCACCTGCATCGTCCTCCACGTAGTTCCGCAGGCTGATTTTGCCACCGGGGCCAGTCCCCAGTGTCACCTCAGCCAGCGTCGGGGGAAAGTGAACCACGGCCTCTGCCAGCACCCTGAGGGGCACAGGAGGAGGCTGAGCACCCCAAATCCTGTGGGGCCGGCTGGGCTGCCTCCTTCCATGCGCCCTCATCCCACTCTGCCCCCCCAGGGCCACCCCCGTGGTGTCCCCCTCACCGTGCCGGGGCGCAGAGGCGGCTGGCGCAGCGCCGGGTGTCGAACACGGCCTGCAGCCGCTCGCACTCCTGGAAGGCCAGGTTGTGTGTCTTGGTGACACCTGGCAGGGGGACAGCGGCTCAGCAGGGCAGCAGGCGGTGCCAGCACGTCCCCACTGTGACGTGCCACCCCCCAGGCCTGTCCCCTGTCCCCGCTGGCACTCACCGTACTTGCAGTGGAGCTGCAGGACCAGGCGGCTGGCACGGGGCTTGAGCAGGATGAGGCATTTCCCCACAGACTTCTCCAGCGAGGGCAGCGAGCGGAAGACGCCCAGGAAGGACTGTGGGGATGGATATGGGGACTGTCACCTGCCTGGGGCCCCTGGAACAACGAGGAGCTCTGGGGGGGCCGGGGCAGGGCACCGCACCTTCATGTGCACTTTGCATCGGAAGAGCTCCGTGTCGGGCCCGGCGCTGCCCGGCTCGTACAGGTGGAAGAAGAGGGGAGCGAAGAGGAAGGAGGCGAAGGCAGAACGGGAGGAGTTGACAGCACGGAGGGACAGCTGGGGACACAGCCACAGTGTTGGCACTGCCCGCACGGAGTCAGGGGGCGCAGGTGCCCCCCGGCTCCCGTCCGTCCCCCGGTGCTGCATACCCCACTCTCGGTGGGCTCCAGGTAGAGCTCGTCGCCGATGCGGGACAGGGAGTGCACGGCTCGGC